TAATAATTAAAAATAAAAATTGGTATATTTTATAATTTAATGATTTTCTATATTATATTAAAATAAAATTCTATGTGAAATTAATATAAAAATTTATTAAATTGGTAAAGAAAAATATTTTATTTCAAAATTTTCTTTTATTCACTGTTAAAACGTATTAATTTTTTTAAATAATGTAATATTTTTATACAAAAAAAGTTGACATATATTTTTATAATTCACAACAAATACATTATCTAAAAAAATATATTTGATATTTTTAAAAAATGACAACATTATATTATATAAAATAATTAAAATAATAAGATTCTATAGTTATACAATATAAAAATAAAATGTAAATGATATATCTGAAAGATTTTGTTATATTTTTATAAAATGAAAAATTACCCGCACGGATGTGCGGGTTCAAAATCTAGTATATTTTTAAAGAAAAAGTACATATTTTAGGGACATTTGATAAAAACAACATAAAATTTCAAATCAAATGCAAAAATGTACTCCAGTTTCAATCAAATACAAAACCAACCTAAATGGATAGGGAAATGTCTATTTACTCCTTATGACTAAACCAAAAACCAGAATGTTATTTTACAATTTTATCCTTATGAAGTCTACATTTAATAGAGAGAAGTCTACAAGGTATAAACTTAGCATGAAGTCAATATTATAGACTTATTACGAAGTCTACATTCTAAGTTAATCTTATAGTTTTATTTTTAAAATATATAAAAATAAATTGTGTGAAATTTCTTTTAGGTAATCAATATAAAAATAAATATGAGGTATATAAATTAAAATTTCATATAATTAAACAATTTTAACGAATATATATTGATTAGGTAACAATAATGAAATAGTCATAGTATATTTCAAAAAATGTCTACTAAGTAGACTTACAATATAGTCTACTCCAAAATTTTAATTATAGTAAACTTCAAAAGAAGTCTATACTATCGAAATTTTTAACCTAGTTACAATTTTTGTTTCCCTATATAAATGAAATTTAGACAATCTCTCTCTAAAATGGATGCACAAGTTTCTATAAAAACTCTCACTTCTCTCTAAAACTCTCTCTCTCTTCTCTCTAAAACTCTCCCATTGCTCAATTCTTTGAAGGTGAAGATGAACTTTTGTTTAGTTTGTTAATTTTTGTATCATGTTTTTTTCACAATATTATCTTGTGTTTGCAGGTTAATGCATGGTTATCACCTTCCACTCTAAAAATGTAAGTCTTAGATCTATAGATTTTAAATGTGTATTTTTATGTTTATATTCAAATAAAGTTACAAATACAAACTCTTTGCATTTACTTTGCTAATATTTTATCTTATAAATTCTATTTTTAAAGTTTTGTTTTCTGATTAATAACTATATTTCACATTTTCACATGTACATAGTTTTCAGATCTGAAAATTATCCGATATAGTAGACTTGTAATGAAGTCTACAAAACTAGAATGGACTTTTTTATGTATAATGTTTTTTCTCATAATTTTATCTTTGTTTTGTTAATATTTTCTTCCATGGTTTT